GAAACTTAGGGGGATTTTTGAGGACAGGCACCAGCAGCTTTGTTGCAAATTTGGTGCCTCTACCTAACCCCCCCCCCCCCCGAGACCGAGATATTCCCAGATCAATTCTCCATTATAGCCTATGGGGACTATTAACTATAATGGTCCCAATAGGCTACAATGGAGCTGGGGGGAAATGATATATTTTTAAAATTTGCACAACCCTATTATGCTTTTCAGTATGATTTGTAAACTGCCTTGAGTCACAGGGAAAAGTGGAATATAAATATTTGAATAAATAAGTAATTCAGGCAACTTCCTGTTTGTTAGGTTAGTCAGGGTTCTGACAGCGACCGTTCCTCCTCTGTTATACTTGACCTATAATGCTGGTTGTCATATTTCACTAAAAAAACCCAAAGTAGACTGCAAGAGTCCCCCTCTCCCCGCAGTGTGCTCTAAGGTTCAGCACAAGGCGATAGTCCAAGGCCAGGACTACCAATATAGTGGAATGGGGTGGGTATACCTGTTTTCCAGAGGCCAGATCTAACAATGTAGTGGAAAGGGATGGGTAAACCTGTTCTCGGGAGGCCAGGTCTACCAATCTAGTGGAAAGAGGAGACCTGTTCTCTGGAGGCCAGGTCTACCAATGTAGTGGAAAGGGGTGGGCTCATGACTTTAGAAGAAGAAGAAGAGATTGGATTTATACCCCGCCCTTCACTCGGAATCTCAGAGTGGCTTACAAACTCCTTTCTCTTCCCCTTCCCACAACAGACACCCTGTGAGGTAGGTGGGGCTGAGAGAGCTCTTTCAAGAACGGCCCTTTCAAGGACAGCTCTTGTCAGAACTATGGCTTGCCCAGGGTCATCCAACAGCTGCAAGTGGTGGAGTGGCAAATCAAGCCCAGTTCTCCCAGATTAGAGTCCACACACTTAACCACTGCACCAAACTGGCTCTACTACTAGCTTTTTTCACTCACAAGATAGAATTTCTGCTCACAACACTGTGGAGCTTAGAGGGAACGTTGATTTAATGGGTGTTGCTCAGTAAAGAGAAAGTTGGCCTGGCTGCTTCTTTTTCAAAGTGGTGCCTTTTGTTTTATTGTACCCCAAATTGGGGTACCAAGGCACACCAAGTCCATTGTTCTGTTCTTATGGGGATCGGATTTCGGGCTTTATAGGAGATGCATCCACTGAACAATCAAGGCAAGGGAAAAGAGTGGTCATGTTGGCTAGGCAGAAACCACTTTGGAGAGGTTTTATGCCAGAATTGCAGGCTGAGTTGAACTAGGAATTGGGGCTTCCAATTGATGGTCTCTCATCTCCCCACAGCAGCAATATCAAAATGGTGAGACTGATGAGAGCCACGAGCAGTTCCTTAAGGCCCTCCAGAATGCTGTCACCACCTTTCTCAACCGCATGAAAAGCAACCATCTGCGGGGCCGGAGCATCACCAATGACTCGGCAGTGCTCTCACTCTTTCAGTCCATCAACAGCATGCACCCCCAGCTCCTGGAGCTGCTCAACCAGCTGGATGAGCGTCGCTGTATGTCACCAGGGCCCCAGTCAACACTACAGGCGGGAGGGTTGTAGCAGGGCTGGGATCCCCCCCCCCCTTTCTCCACGTAGAATCACGGGAGGCTGATCAGCTTTCCTGTGTGCTTCCAAAGGCAATATGCACCTAGTGCCGTTTTTAGAGTCTGGGTGGGATGGGGAGATAGTTTGATGCCTTTGGCCCTTGCCAGCCTTTCCACCTGGTCCTGTAAGAGCTACAGATCTGTGGATCTAAATTCAGTCTTAAATCCTAAGGGAAATGTTTGGGTACAACTGGGTCATGAACAGGAATGTGGTCTTCCCATCAGTGTACTATGAGGGACTTCAGGACAAACTTGCCCAGATCCGGGATGCACGGGGAGCCCTGAATGCTCTGCGGGAGGAGCACAGAGAGAAGCTGCGCCGTGCTGCTGAAGAGGCGGAGCGTCAACGGCAGATCCAGCTAGCCCAGAAGCTGGAGATCATGCGACAGAAGAAACAGGTGAGACCCATGTCAGTGCATGCGCCAGGGAAGTCTAGTGTCAAGATTGGGCTTGCCATTCCTTATAAATGGTTGGTGAGTGGTGGTACCTAGAAGAGTTTTTTGAGGCCTGACGGCTGTGATGGCTGATACAGTGTGTCCTTCCATCACGCATAGGAATACCTGGAGATGCAACGGCAGCTGGCCATCCAGCGCCTTCAGGAGCAGGAGAAGGAGCGCCAGTTACGGCTGGAGCAACAAAAGCAAACAATCCAGATGAGGGCACAGATGCCTGCTTTCTCTCTGCCTTATGCTCAGGTATAAGAGGTGGAGAGTCCAGGGATTACTCTCTTCCCCCTCCTTCCCCTGCCTGTTTATTATACTGATGCAATAAAGTATGGGAGAAACTACACTGATGCAATGAGAATTGCCGTTTGGGTGGGATGCATCAGACAGAGGATGGAAATTCTCCCAGATGTCTCTTCTGCAAGCCATGCTGGGAATCCTTTTGGATCGAAAGGTGAGATAGAAATGAAATGGCCATGTTGGCCACCCGTCTGTCTCTAACACTGCCCAATGTCACTTTCAGCTCCAGGCCATGCCTGCTGCTGGCGGGGTGATCTACCAGCCGTCAGGCCCAACCAGCTTCCCAGGCACTTTCAGCCCAGCAGGCTCCGTGGAAGGGTCTCCGATGCACACAGTGTACATGAGCCAGCCCGCCCAGGGCAACGCTGGTCCCTACACTGCAATGCCTGTGGCAGGAACAGGTGAGACAGTTGGGAGGAAGTGCTATGGAAGTTCAACTGAAGCTTCTAAAACCAGGCTAGTAGATCAGTTGTTGACCTAACGCTCCCTCCCCAAGATTACTTGTCTCTCTGTCCTCGTTTCAGATCCCAACATGGTGAGCACCTACATGTACCCATCAGGCACTAATAGCGCTCAAACAGCTGCACAGGGGCAAGCTGTGCCCACCACTAATCCTGCCTATTCCTCCTACCAGCCTACACCAACCCAGGGCTATCAGGCAAGTTTGCTCACTTCTACCCCAGTATCAGCTGTTGTGGAAGGTGGGGCGGGGGGTGGGGAGCACTAATTTTGCTGGGTTTTGAGAAGCCAGAGGTCCTGCCCAGACGCATTGTCTGGCTTGTGAGTTAAGTCATGCCCATGGCATCCTGGGAAATTGGAATAACGTGCCGTTTCTCTGCCGCCACGCCGCTGTGTGCTCAGAGCTTCTGCATCCTTGCCTATTTCTGTCTTCTCTACCTTGCAGAATGCAGCTGCCCCCTCACAGACCCAGGCTATCCCTGCCATGACACAGGCTCCACAGTCTGGCGGCACAATCGGCTACATGGGCTACCAGCCCTACAACATGCAGGTAGGAAAGTACTACTTACTGCTGTGGATATAAGGGTGAGTGGCAAGGAGGAGTTAGTGGGCAATTTCTTACCAGGTTTGTATAGAGGCAGGGAAATCCCACCTGGGATTGAAGTGTGTGTCTCTGTGTGTGTGGGTGGGTGGTGTTCTTGGACTGATACCAGCTCTGCTTCCGCTCTCCTCTCTTCCCGACAGAACCTCATGTCAACCCTCCCTGGCCAGGATCCCGCTTTGAGTAACCTGCCACCCCAGCAGCCTTACCTATCAGGGCAGCAGCCCATGTATCAGCAGGTGAGTCTTGACACTGAGGGAAGTGGCCCAGTACTCCATTCAGCCGTTGATTTTTATCTTGCTGCTGTCGTGTTAATTGGGGGAGGGGTGCCCTGAATTCTTGCACGATTCCTGTCAGCCAACTCTGAGGGCTGAGAGATCGGGCAGGAGCCCTTTGCTTACAGGAGGCTTGTGTAGGCACAGGAATGTTTCTTGAGCGTGGCCTATTTGCTAACCTCTGTGGTTGTCCCCTTGCAGATGGCACCCCCTGGAGGACCTCCGCAGCAGCAGCCACCTCCCCAGCAGGCTCCAGCCCAGGTGCAGCAGGCACAGGCGGGCAGTGGAGAGGCTCAGCTAATTTCCTTCGACTAATCTCTCATCTCAAAAGGAGGGGGAGGGGTGGGTTTCTAAGACATTGAACACTACGATCTCTTGGGTCACCGCTGTATTTGCTACACCACGGCTGTTACTCTGCACCATCCCCTCAGAGGAATGGAGAACTGAGCCTCTGTTGTTAGTCTCCTTAGGGCCAGCAGTGTTCACATTTCCTTTGGGCTTCTCCTTGGTTGGGACGTGATGGTGGCCCCCTAGCATCACTGGAGCTGGGTAGCAGACCAGAGAGCTTTTAAACCACTCACTCCTGTGTGCACTCCTACGGAGCCAGAGACCTTCCATCTCTTCTGGGACTACAGCATTTAAGCATGCTCCAGAGCCTGAGTAAATGGGATCCAACCTGCAGCATGGCCTGAGCCTGCATCTCCCCCCCCACCCCCTCTTAGTGCCCTGTATGGTTGTATCTTGCCAGTCAAGTGGCCTTCACTCTAACTATCCCCTTCCCCCCCCCCCAC